TCACCCAACACTTTCAGTCCATCCTTGGTTTATTAATATGAGGGGGTTCCCCTTTTTAATCCAGCCTCCTTTTCACCTGCTAATTTTATTTGGTTATAAATAACATAACCTAATCCATTCTTCTCTCTCTCTTCCTTTCTCTCCCCCCAACTAAACTCCAGAGTTGAGGAGCAGAGCACAAACAAATCTGCTGGAGCCTCGTTGCCATGGATCCCCCTCCCTCTCTGAGTCTGGCCCTTCTCAGCAGGAGCGAAGACGAAGAGCAACATCTGCCCCTCCCTCTCGGTGGTCTCTCCCATGCTTCCCTTTCTGGCAACTACCCTGGGACCAACCATTCGAATCACACGGGAGGCAACAGCAGCCTGGAGCGTCTCAATGGCACTCCGTCACCCACCACGCCAAACCTTCCCCCTGCATCGCTGCCCAAGTTGCCCCTGTCCACGACACCCCAGCTGTCCACACCAATCCCCAACGCGCTCCACCCCACCAGCACCCCGCTCTCCTCCTGCCTGGGCAGCCAACATAGCCTGAGCGGGGAGACTTCGCCTGTCTACAATGCGCTGTTCTACTCCTCTCATTCGCCTTCCACTGAGCGAGAGCGAGAGAGGGGATGTAAACACAGGCAGGCCAGTCCGCTGGTGCACAGGCGGGACAGTAACCCCTTTACCGAGATCGCCATGAGCTCGTGCAAGTACAGCGGCGGCGTGATGAAGCCACTCAGCCGCCTCAGTGCCTCCCGCCGTAACCTCATTGAGTCCGACAGCGGAAGTGACACCAAAGAGGGCGCGGCGAGCGGGAGCCAGGCGACCGCGGCCTCCTCTCAACACAGTCAGTCCCAATCCCAGAACCCCCCAGAGATCGTTATCTCCTCAAAAGAGGATCCACCTTACGGACACGCTTACGAACTCGAGGCCTCGGCCAATCAAATGTCCATCTACCACCAGAACCACGCCCTCTCTGAGAGCAGGGGTGTGCTGGGTGGCGTGGCAAGGGGTGGGACTAATGGAAGGAGGGGCGGTGCTGTCGTGGGAGGCCCGGGGAGGACCGCTTCCAAAGCCCCTAAACGTAAGAATCAGAACATTGGCTACAAACTAGGCCACAGGAGGGCGCTGTTTGAAAAGAGGAAGAGACTTAGTGACTATGCGCTCATATTCGGCATGTTTGGCATTGTTGTCATGGTGATAGAGACCGAGCTGTCCTGGGGTGTCTACACTAAGGTGAGGACTTTGTGCACTGGGGACTGGGGTGAATAGTTGTGCACGAGGACACATCCTACTGGTCCTGCTCTGTGTGTGAATGAGAATGAGAGTATGTCTGTGCTTCCCATATTATGTTCCTATAATAACAGTTGTAAAACTTGGATACAGCCATACACTATGTAGTGCAGCCTGTAATGTAAAGCAGTACACAAGTTTACGATCAACCATGATGACATTCCAAAAAACAAGAGCAGATGTTTGACCCAAAAAAATGACTTAAAGGGATAGTTCACCCAAAAATGAAATTCTTTCATCATTTACTCACGTTCATGTTGTTACATTTTTGTCCATCCATTACACATTGTCCATCCATTGAAAGTTCTTGCAACCACAACTTGCGTGTATCATGTAAAAGTAATTTCTTTGAATTCATGGATTTGCCGTGGTTTCTTGAATGGTGCTTCAAATATCGCTACCCCATTGCCAATAGACATCCCCCCCAATGTGACCACACCTCAAAATAATATAGTGTCATCAT